ACTCCTTTCTTGATGGTATGAGGTCCCCAACTCTGTGTTTGCTTCCCTTTCCTTTTATCTCTTGAGAGATAAAAGGTGGTGCAGGCCACACCCCAGGGAAACTCCCTTTACATTGGATCAGGGATGTGACCTGGGTAAAGATGGTGTTACAATCCCACCCTAATCCTCTTTAACATAAAATTACAATCACAAAATGGAGGCCAACCACACAATTCTGGGAATCATGGCTCAGCCAAATTGCTACACACATTTTTTTGGGGGACATAATTCAAACCATGACTACATGATAATCGCAGCTATCTTGAGGGATGGAGAGAGGACTTAAATGGGATCCTTAGTCTTCCCAGCGCCCTCTGGGTGTGAGTACTATTCCTTACCCCCAATTTGTAGGGGGTAAGGGGCTTCCTGGGTGGTGGAAACCATTCGTGCTCAGCTACTAACCAAAAGGTTGGCAGTTTGAACCCACCCAGCAGTGCCACAGAAGAAAGGCCTATAATCTTCTGTAAAGACTACAGTCAAGAAAACCCTATGGAGCAGTTCTACTCTGTAACACATGGGGGTGACATGAATCGGAATCGACTCAATGACAATGGGTTTGGTTTTGGTTTTTCAGCTGAGATAGAGCCGCAGCCCTGGTGTATCTGCTTGCCTCCCGCTGCACTGTGGGCCCACCAGGTGTAAGCAGGTCGGAGCCCACTGTGTGTGACGGTGCCTTGGGAAGCTCAGCCTAGGTCGCTGGCAGGGTCTCTGAGCTGGCTCGGGACTGTGATTCGGGTGCTGTTGTTTAAAGAGCCAGCAGAGGGCGCCGATGAGCTGTGATGCAGGCACCTGCGGCACCTGCTCTGGGCTTCGGCCCCCTGACCTGCCCGTGGCCTCTGGGTGGCTTGGGGGCTGCTGAGAGCTGGCACTGGCACAGGCACAGGTATTGATGCCCTGTCCCCAGTGACCTGGAGCCCCTTAGAGCCCTGACATGGGGTCTCAGGCACAGGTTACCTGGTCAGGACTTTTGAAGGACGAGGCTTGAGAAGTGGTGGCCTGAACCAGAAGGGGCAGGATGGAGCAAGGGGCGGAGGAGGCGTGCTCACACTTGGAGCCACTTCAGGCACCAGCCCTGCCACCTGGCCACCGTGTCACCTTGAGCACTTTGCTTCGCTTCCCCAAGCCTTGGTTTTCTCAACTGTAGAATGGACGTGATGGTAGTGTCCACCAGAGGGATGGCATGAGGGTTAGTGCAGGAGCGGAAATCCCAGGCTCAGCCCAGAGCCTGGCATGGGAGTGCCTAGGAAGGGCAACCCCAAACCACCTCCCAGCCCAGGTGTTTCATTCCTCCAAGGTTGGTACAGCGACCTCACTTTTACAGCCAGGGAAACTGAGCCTCAGAGTGAAGCCATGTGTTGCACAGTCACCCTGGCTCAGTGGTTCCCAGCCCTGGCTGCACATAGAATCACCTGGGCCATATGCAGAGCAATGAAATCAGGCCCCCTGGGGTGGGGACGTGGCACCTATATTCCAGGTGATCCCAATGGGCACCCAAGTTGGAAACCCCTGCACTTGAGCTAGGAAAGGGCAGAACCAGGTTTCAGGGGAAGGCTCTGACCTGCACATAGCAGCGTCTTCCAGCTTACCCCATGCAGAGGGCTGGCTTGCCAGGCCAGGGTTTTGTGGTCTGGTTTGTGTGGCTCTATCCAACGTGTCGAGGACAGCGAGTGCCGCAGAGTAGGCGAGGCCCCATCAGGCATACTTGTCCCCCATCAGTGTCCTGCCCCCACCCTTCCTGGGATCCGCTGGCTGCCCTAGTCCCTCCCTGGGCACTGGCCCCTTGGAATGGGAGCCAAGGCCTTCCTCTCAGGAAATTGGCTTTTAATAGCCCAAGGCTGGCACGTAATTAACAAATAACAGCTCTGGGTTAGCACTAATGAGTTCCTGGGCTGGGGCAGGGCTGGCATTTGTTGTTTTAATCCCTGAAGTCAGCTTTATCCTCCTGAGAACTTTTCCCTCCTGCTCAGCCACCTCTCCTGCAGAGGCTGGGCAGCTCAGGGATTTGAGTCTCCAGCGCCTTCCTCCTGTTTCTCCTCCCTCCTTCCCTTCCCTCCCACTCTGTTTCCTCTCCTCTCTCCTCCTTCTTTCATTATCTCCCTCCCCTCCCACCTCTCCTTCTTTCTTCCTTCTCCCCTCCCTCCCCTCCTTCCTTAAACACCGCCCTTCACACCCCTCTTTGCTCCCTTCCAGCCTCCTGCATCTCCTTCCTTGTTCCCACTGCCTTCCTTCTTTCCCATCTCCCCTCCTCCTCCCTCCTACCCGGTCTCCCTTCTCCCCTCTCCTCCCTCCAATCCTGTCTTCCTCCTTCCCTCTCTCCTCCCTCCTACCCTGTCACCTCCCTCCTACCCTGTCTCCTTCTTCCCCCTCCCTCCTTCCTTCTCTCCCTCCTCCTCGCTTTATGGATGATAATAGAGCTTGCAGGGATGAGCCTCTCTAGGGCCCCTCTGCAAGTACATTCCATGAATCTATTCCTGTCCTTACACATGTAGCCCTGCAGGGTAGGTGCTGCCACCTTCCAAAATGGGCTGTTTTGGATTCTGTTCTTGTGTTTTCTATTAAGGAGAGGGATCCTGAGGTTCTGTTATCTCCTATTAGGCATGCCCAGGATCTAAACATCCCACTCCTGGATGTTATAGAGTAGGGCTGGCAAGCCACAGCCCAGGGGCCAAATCCAGTCCTCTGCCTGTTTTTGTAAATAAAGCTTTATTGGAACACAGCCACATCCATTTAGTTATATACCATCTATGGCTGCTTTCATACTCCAGTGACAAAGTGGAGTCATTTTGACAGAGACTGTATGGCCCTCAGAGCTTAAAACATGAACCGTCTGGCCCTTTACAGAAAAAGTTTGGTGGCCCCTGTTAGGGAGGATTGTAGTCACAAGAGACAGGGCTTCGGGGGTCAGACGGACTCAGGTTCAAACCTGGACTGCACCACAAACTGTCTTTACAAATGCTCTCTGGTCATCAGTTTCCACATCTGTGAAATGGGACTGATAAACTACCTGCCTCACAGGTCAGTAGTAAGGTATGAGTAGTAAGAATGAGCAGGTGCTTACCCAGTGCTAAGCAAGGTGGCTTGTAAGTACTGCCCATTATGGATGATCACATTGCCTGCCTTGTATTGGCTTTACATTCTGGGCTTCTTCCGAGATTGCAGAAAAACGCAGTTCTACGTGAAGGGTGTTCCAGGCAGTGGGAACAGTGTGTGCAGAGGCATGGAGGAATTAGGGAACTCAGCGAATTCAGGGAATGGAACCATTTGGTGAGTTGGGCAGGTGGTAGGGAAGAGGCTGCAGGTAAGTTGGGGCAAGATTGTGAAGACTGAGTGCCGGGTAGGACACTGACTTTAGTCTGTGATCAACATTTCCCAAAATGTATTTCATGACTCATGGTTCTGTGAGATGTTAGCAAGTGTTCCTCCAAAAATGTACTCCATTGTCATTTGTTTGGGAAGCTCACAGTTAAGCACAATAGAAGCAGCTTCTTCACGGCAGGACTTCTCAGAACCTTTAATACTCTAACATGCATGTAAATCTTCAAGAGGAGGATAGAGTAGATGGGATTCAGTCAACATTCAAGTATGTATGATTCTTAAACTCATTTGATCATGGAACCCCTTCCTGTGGGAGTCTCAGAAGGCCAGTGTTCCAGGGAACACACTTTGGGAAATCCTGCTGGTAGATAGTAGTCAAGAGCTGGTGAGTGTTCTAAGCAGGCATGTGATGTGATCACTATTTGTAGTTTCTGGCTGCTGTTTGAACGGTAGACTGGAGAGGGATAAGCCAGGAGGCAGAGAGACTATTTAGGGGCACAAGGAAGGAGAAGGATGGATGTCAAAGATACTTAGGAGGTAAAATCTACAGACTTGATTAAATTGATTGATCAATCAATGATAAACCAGATAGATTAAATTTGCCTGGAGAGTTGGAGGGTGAGGAGAAAAGGGAAGAAATGAGGTTGATGCTGTGGTTTCTGATGGGTGGTGATGTCACTGACAGATGGGAAGAGTGGAAGAAGGTGTTTGACAGAGTGGATGGTGGGTGGTTTTTATGTCAGCAGGAGAACCATAAATGGGCGTGGCCTAACTACCTGCATTTAATTTAGGGAGAGGTAGGCCAATGAGTTTGACAACTTAGAAGAAGTGGACAGTCACTAAAAAACACAACTTAACCAAAACTGACACCAGATGAAACAGAAAACCTGCATAGCCCTGTTATCTGTGAAAGAAACCACATTTGTGATTAAAAGCCTCTGCACAAAGAAAATTCCAGCCCAGACAGTTTCACTGGTGAATTTAATCAAACATTTAAGGAAGAAGTAATACCAATCTCGCACACACTCTTTAAGAAAATAATTTGTGTGAGTGATAACTTCATGAATAGTTTAGAATCAGGAAGACCTGGGTTCAAATTCAGCTCTGTTACTTTCATTCATTCAGAGTCATTTTTTGAGCACTTATTTACTATGTGCCAGTAGGTCCCTGGGTGGCATAAATGGTTTGCAATTGGCTGCTAAACTAAAGGTTGACAATTCAAACCCACCCAGTGGTGCTGCAGAAGAAAGGCCTGGCAATCTGCTTCCATAAAGATTACAGCCAAGAAAACCCTTTGGAACCAGCCCTACTGCATAATACATGGAGTCCCCAAGAGTCAGAATTGACTCTATAGCAATAAGTTTGGTTTGGTTTACTGTGTGCCAGACACTGCTGTAGGTACTAAAGATAAAGTTAATGAACAAAACAGACGCTAATCCCTGCCCTAACCAAGGTACACAAGCTTGGGCAGTCATTGAACTTCCCTGTCCATATAGTGGTGACAGCAGCCCTCCCCTCTCCTGGGAGTTGCCAGGCCTGAAAGTGATGGTGCAGGGAGGGAGGGAGGCCGGCAGCCAGCGGCCACTGATGCTTGTCTCTCTGTCATATATGTACGTGTGTGTGTGTTTTCCACGCCTGCCACTCAGGCTTTAAAATGTGTGTCAGCAGCAGCAGCAGCCATGACGAGGCCCCTGTCCTGAGCAACAAGCACCTGGATGTGCCCAACATCATCATCACCCCCCCGACCCCCACGGGCACAACACTGCCGAGAGACTCGAGGCGGACTGGTGAGCCCACCCTGCTGCCGCCGCCGAGCTGGGTGTAGAGAGACTCTGGGTACAGCCGGGGGGCCTGGCTGGAGACAGCTCATGGGGACCGCCCCCAGCCCCTGGGTTTAGGAAAGATTCACACTTGGCTCCGTGTACTCTCCACTATGGGCCCCTCGCCACAGCACCAGCCTCAGCAAGATGTGGCATGTTAAGTAATTAGCTAGACAGCCCCTGCCGGCAGCCAGGAGCTGTGATGGATGGGGCTGGGCTGGCCCGCCACACCGCGTCCCCTGCCAGCCAAGGTAATTGATGGATGCGCCTCCGCCTGCCAACCCGTTGGACCAGTGCTCCATCTCGTTGGCTGCGGTGGTTCCGGCTGGACAGGACAGGCTTGGAAACACAGCCCATGCCCAGGCTGGGGCTGGACCTGGGGCCTTCTGGATGCAGTCTGCTGTAGGGAGGGGAGAGGAGATGGAATTATTCCCAGGGGAAGGGAGAGGCCCAAGCTGGTGCCCCACCTGCCCCTCTGTTGGTACCGTTGGAGCCAGTGGGACAAGTTGTTCATTTATTCATTGAATTGAACCAAGATTTATGGAGCCTCGCCTGGGCTGGGTGCTGAGGCCGCTGTTGTGAATAATAGAAGTAGTAGTAATGGTTGTGATAGATAGCACTGTGCCAAGTGTAGTAAACACATTTTCTCATTTAGTCTGCATGCTAACTCTCATCCCCGTTTTATAGATGGGTAAACTGAGGTTCAGAGAGCTGTTGCTGTACAGCTGACAAGTGGCATAGTTGGGATTCCAGACCAGGCTGTGTGATCTGGGCTTGCACTGCAGACCCTGGGGCTGGATGCCCACCCATCGGGTAGCATGGATCAACCAGTGAGCCACTATGACATGGTTCCTGCCAGGGATTCAGTGATGACAAGGCAGGGTGGAATTGGTGGGACATCCTGTCTGATAGAATGGGGTAGACTTTTCCAGAATTCCTGAGTTTGGGTACCAGCGTGCCCACTGGATCAGAGAGCCCTGGAGAAAGCCACTGGACCCCTTCTGGGAGGGGCCCAGTGCAGACACGAGGACTGCAGGCCTGCCCAGTTATGGCTGTAGTGTTCACCGTCCCATGTGAGCTCTCCATGTGCCAGGCACTGGGTAAATGCTTTTCATGAATGATCTTATTTCATTCTGACCCTAGGAGCCATGAGTATTGTAATTACCTCTTTTTACAGACAGGGAAACCGAGGTCCAGAGAGGGTCAGTGACTCCTGGTCCAGTGCTGGCTCTGCCACTGGACGCCCTTCCCTCTCCAAGCCTCAGTGTCCTTGTCTATAAAATGGGGTCATAGCCGGCCTTCCCTGCTTCCTGGGACCTGAGTGAGCAGCAAGAGACTCCTGGTTCTTCTACAAGGTCTCTGGGAGACTCCCAGACCCTGGGAGAGGTTCCTTTTAAACTTAAATAGCTGCCATCTGGTCCATCAGGCTGCAAAGCTCAGACCCCACCCCTGTTTTCTCTGTTGAGAGAAGCGAGGTGTAGGACAAACAGCACAGGCTTTGGAGTCAGAAAACTCTGAATTCAAATCCCAGCTCTCCAGCCCATCAACTGTGTGACTTTGAGCAAAGACTGTACCTCCCTGAGCCTCAGTCTCCCCATCTGTATAATGGAGATGATAATAGTGCCTCAGAGCAGTGTGGAGGGTTCGTGATGAGGAATGTCAGGGCCTGGTTTGATGCCCTGCACAGTGGCTGAGTTGTTGATATTGTGAACAGTGAAATGGAAGGCACGAGCAAAGAGCAGCAGACCCAGTAGGGCCTTCTCTCTCAGCCTCAACTTCCCACCTGGAGAGCCACGGTTGTGGATGTGTTGAGCTCCCAGCCCTGCCCAGCCCAGGGCGTTGAAGGCAGCCAAGGGTGGGTGGCTCAGGTGGGTCCAATCCTAGGGACCTCAGCCAGAGACTGGGGAGAGCCAGGCACTGAGAGTGGGCAGAGGGGTACCTGGGAAATTCTCATGAGACCCAGCATCATTTGGGGCCCCTCAGCACCCAGTGACACCCCTGCCCAGACATGGGGGAGTTTGTGGCAGTAGTATAGGGCAAGGGGGCCCAAAGGCACCAGCCTCGAAGCTCCCAGAGAAAGGGGGGCTTGGATGTGGTGGGGTCGATCTGATGTCGCTCCTCTTTTTTCTAGTCTGGCTAGATGAGATGGGGACGAACCTGGATGATGGAGAAATGGACCCAGAAGCTTGAGGAGGGGGCACATGATGGGGATTTGTCCACATGTGCTCCTGTGCTCGCTAGCCACCCCCACTCCAGATGTCCTGGTGGGGACGTGGCTGCCTGGGACAGCTGTGCTGAGTACACACATGTGCACATGTGCTGGATGGGGAGACGGAGCAATTCCGGGCCGAGGAGAGCAGCACTTGAGGTGTGGCGAGATGAGCGAGGAATCCACCCTACTGCTTCCAGAACAATGCTTCCAAGGTCCCGCTGAGTGGAACAGACCTCTAATGCCTATGTTCCTGCTGACCCTGGTGTGGAAGAGGGGAAGATCCTTCCCTCAAGGCCCTGGAGATGGCTGGCAGAGTGCAGGCCAAGGCTCTCTCCTCTGGGAACACATACCCTCTGCGCCTTGTTTTCTCGTGGCATCAACACAAACTAGAACTTCTCGCAAGACGAGCAGCTTGGTTTTTTACAAGTTGTTTTACAGATATCAAAACAGTCCAAAAAGTGGTTTCTAATTTCTTTTTTGCATATAAATAAAGATCCTCTGTGATGAACAGCAAGTCTTGCTCCTGGGGGCGTTTAAGACAATTGCTTAGAACAGAGAAGCCAGCCCGGCTTGTGATGGGCCTTCGGATAGTCAGTTTGCAGACTACTGTAGGCCTCAGTGTGGTCCAGGTCAGATGGGTCTGGTGAGTCCCAGGCTCATCGCTTACCAGCTGTGGGACCCCGCAGGGCCTTCGTTTTCTGTAAAATTGGGGTAATAACACATCTCTAGGATAGGAGGCAGTGTTGTTTTTTAAATAACATTTGATTGTTGGTATCTGCATTTCCCTGTCGGCTGCTCTGATCTTGGCGTGTATTTTTATGTTCATTTTCTGTGGCTTCTCCTGAGTTTGGTTTTTCTCACTGTCTTATCGGCTCCCCTAGAAGCAGAGCCTGAGGCAAGGATTGGGTCCAAGAAGTTTATTTGGGGGAGAATCTCAGGAAGCATCAGTAAGGGAGGGGGGAAGCAAGGCAGGGAAGGGAAGGAACCCCCCATAAAGGGGGCTATTGAACCAGTTACCCCCAAGAACACCTAGACTTAGGTCCCCTGGGGGGCCCTGGGGGTAGGCAGTGTGGAACTCCTGTCATTGTTACCCCCATCCCCAAGGAGTGAGGAAGCAGGGTCTTCATCCTTCACCTCTCAGCCTGTCCACTCACGGGCCACGGTGCTTATAGTAGGAGTCATGGGCCACACTGGAACTCTGAGTGCCCAGGGGACATGGGTGAGCCCGACAGCCAGGGCTGGCTTCATGGGCATGCAACTCACACAACCTCAAATGGCGCTGTGCTCAGAAGGGCCACACTTGGTTTAATGCTCTACTGTCATCTTGCCCATGTTGAAATTCATAATCATCGTTGGACAAAGAGTATGTTCATTTTGCACTGGGCTCCACAGATTATGCAGTCGGTCCTGCTTCTACTCCATGTAAACGCCTGTGAGTTAAGATGCTTCATGTGTGGTGGGTCATCCAGGGCTACAGAGCATTCCCTTGGTGGGGGATTCCCTTCTCCCAAAGCCCATCCTTGTCTCACTTAAAGTTGTTTCCTTTCTCGTCCGTCCGTATAGAAATCAGTCCATGGCTTGGGAAGTGTTTAGAGCCTGTCTCCAGCATCTGAACTGGTAAGCTGCTGCATTGTCCTGCTTTTTTCATTTTTTAAACTATTTTATTAAGGTATCAGGGTCCCCCAGGTGGTACAAACAGTTTGTGCTTGACTGCTAACCTAAAGGTTGGCAGTTCAAACCTGTCCAGCCACGCCACGGAAGAAAGGCCTGGCAATCTGCATTCATAAAGATTATAGCCAAGATAACCCTATGGAGTAGCTCTACTCTGTAATATGTGGGGTCACCATGAGTTGGAATCGACTTGACAGCAATGGTTTTTTTTTTTAATTGTGGTATCAGCTATACAATAACCTGCAGTAAACTTGATCATGTAGCTCAGTCAATTGTATATGTGTATACACCGTGAACCACCTCCCTGATCGAGGTAGAGAGCATTCTATCACCCCAGCAGGGTCCCTCCTGCAGGCCCCAGCCCAGGTCTGCACCGAGAGGTCACCATTCTCCTGATGCCATCACCATCAATGAGTTCTGCCTATTCTCACACTTCACATGAATGGAATCACGAATCACACCGCAGTGGACACTTTATGTAAGGAAGATAAATGACTTGCTTTAAAATGGGATTTAACAAAACATTGAGTAAATAATACAGAAAGATACATACATTTAGCAACAATCCAGTTACTGGAGAATTAACAGCTCAGACCCTGACAGCATTACCCCTAGCCCCTTTGCCGGTCTAGACTTAAGGCATACAACATGAAGTCGCTCCTTCCCTCCTCCCTTGCCCCTTCCCTCCTCTGTCTCCACCTCCTCACTCCTCTCTCCCTTCTTCATTGTTCTTGCTCTCTGTTTTTTACCTAATCTATCAACCTACAGGCCCCCAGATCCCAATCATCTTTGACATCTCTTGTCACATTCAATCATCAGTTCCTTTGCTTTCCCTTGATTTTTACACCATCATCTCTTCTCTCTCTTCTCTGTTCCGATGTTGACTGCCCTGCTTCAAGCCCCTGTGGCAGCTCACCAGGACTATTCTGAGCTGATCCCTGCCTCTTCTGCTTCTGTCCTCCACCCTGCTGCACCCTCAACTCTGATCCTGCCTCTGCCTTGAGCTGTTGTTGTTAGTTGCCATACAGTCAACTCTGACTCATGGCAACCCCATGTGTACAGAGTAGAACTGTTCCATAGGTTGTGATCTCTTGGAAGCAGATTGCCAGGCCTTACTTTCAAGGTACTTCTTGGTCGGTTTGAATCACTAGCCTTTCTTAGTAGTCAGGGCTTAACATAAAACCAAACCCATTGCCGTCAAGTTGATTCCGACTCATAGTGACTCTATAGGGCAGAGTGGAACCTGCCCCGTAGGGTTTCCAAGGAGCAGGTGGTGGATTTGAACTGCCGACCTTTTGGTTAGCAGCCTGAGCTTTTAATCACTGCACCACCAGGGCTCCAGTGCTTAAGATAACAGGTTCCAAAAGCTCTCCACTGCTCCTCGTTAGAGGCCAGACCCTTGGCTTTACCCATCTTCCACTTCAACCAAGCTAAACGTCTTGCTTTTCCTTGTTCACACACCTCTTGTCCTGGTTACTATTGCTGTGGAACAAACCACCCTCCAAGTCTGCAGCATAAAACAGTAACAATCACTTATTTTCTCACAAATCTGCAATTGGACAGAGCCTGCCAGGGACAGCTCGTCTCTGCTCCACATGGCATCAGCTAAGATGGGTTGCCTGGGGCTGGCAGAGCCATGTCCAAGATGGGACACCACATGGCTGGCAGGTTGGTGCTGGCTGTTGGTTTCTCTCCATGTGGCCTCTCCATGGGCAGCTTGGGCTTCCTCACAGTATGGTGGCCGGGTTCCATCATGAGCATCCCAAGAGAACCAGGTGGAAATTGTGTCGCCTGTAATGACCTAGTCTCTAAAGTTACTCTATGTCACTTTTGCTACAGTCACAGGCCTTCCTCAACTCAAAAGGGGATACAGACCCCACCTCTTGGTGGGGGAGTGTCAGACACATTGTAAGAAGACCATGTGGGATGAGGGGGATTGTTGTGGCCATTTCTGGAAAATACAGTCTGCAACCTGCTCATGCTGTTCTGTCTCCCTGGAATGCCTTCACTGCCATTTGTCCACCCAGTCCTTCTGCAGAGCCTGGTTCTGGTACAGCCTGCTGCTTCTCAATGCTCATCCCTGCCAGCTCCACAGCACTCTGTCCCGTACCTCTCCTCCTATAGGCAGGATGCCCCTTCTGCTGTTTCACAGTCATGGGTGTGCGAGTCATCAGAGAAGGGGGTGCCTCTGTCAGTAGGGGCTCAGGACCCAAGGCTGATACACTTACCCTCCACCCTCCGGCACGCCCACACACTGTCCCTGGAAAATAAGCTTCCTAAAGGCAGTGAGGGCATCCCTGGGTGGTGAAAACAGGTATGCACTTGGCTGCTAACCAAAAACTTGGCAGTTTGAGTCTACCCAGAGGTACCTTGGAAGAAAGGCCTAGTGATCTACTTCCAAAAAATCAGCCATTGGAAACCCTATGGAGCAGAGTTCTACTTTCATACACGTTGTCTGTGTGAGTTGGGGCAACTGGTTTGGTTAAAGGCAGTGACTTAGTCTTGCACATCAGTGTATTCTCAACACCTGGGACATAACAGATGCTCAGTGTATTTATTTATTTAGCACTTATGTGGCTCACTATGTACCAGGTACTGTTCTATGCTCTTTACACATATTAACTCATAGGATACTCACAGAAACCCTGTGAGATAGTGTATCAGTCAGTTTTCTTTTTGCTGTGATACTGGTGTGTAACAAGCATCTCCCATAACTCTGTGGCGTACAATGACAGCCTTTATTCCTCATGTGCTGCTCTGCGTGTTGGCTGGGGCTCTGCTGAGTTTCTGGGATGTGTTAGGCTTGGATTTGTCAGGCAGCAGTTGGATTCAAATCTGCTTCATGTGTCCCCTTGTTCTCTGAGCAACAGCTACCAGGGTATGTTCTCCTCATGGTAGATGGCACAGGCACAAGAGCACAGGACATCTGCCCACATTTCATTGGCCAAGCAAGTCACATGGCCAAACCCAGCATCTGTGTGCTGGTAACTCATGTGGCCCAGGGCAGGGGTGGCAATTGTCTTAAAGGGAGGGGGAGACGAATTGGGAACAACAATCTAATCTTCTATAGGTAGATACTATTATTGCCCACATTTTGCAGATGGGGGACCTATGGAACCTAGAGGTTAAATCACTTGCCCAAGGTCACCAGGTAGTAAGTTGCAGAGACAGGATTGAAACCCAGAACCCATGCTGTTACCATCCACATTCAGCTGCTTCCCAAGACATGTTTGTTGTTGCTTGGCTGTGTAAACCATCCCCTACCTCCTGACTTTTTGGAGCCTCTCATGCCCAACTAGAAGTGAGACTTGACCCTTTGCTCCAGTGTCTCTCCCTCTTGGATACAGGGGACACTGGGTCTCTGAATCAGGGCTAGGAGAGCGCCCTGGAGCCTGGCTGAGTCCCTAGGCTGAGGGCCCCTGCTCTCCCTGGGCACTGCTCAGAGGCCTCTAGCCTGCCTGTCAGTCTGCGTGGCTAATCAGCCTCTCATCCCAGGCTTTTAGTGCCCATGGCAACAGAGTGGAGGGGGAGCTGGGATGCAGGTACGAGGGGCAGGGAGGCTGTATTGCCCAGGGAGCTGGATGTGCTCTGCGGCTTCTTCCAGGGGCAGGTTAAGTTCCCCAGCTCTTCTGGAGAAAGGTCCTGGGCCCAGGCCTCTTGCAGCCAGAGGCCTCATTCCTGGTGAGGTCAGCATTTGGGAGGATGAGGGATCCCAGATGGTACCTGCTGACTAAGGGAGACAGGCCCCTCCAGGCTGCAGTAAACCCTGTGATGCTACTCACTGGCCCCTAGCTCCAGTCCCTGAAACCTCTGTGTCTTCAAGCAAGCTCTATCTCCCCGTGTAAAGAAGGAGTGAGGTGGAGGGGGCCAGCTCAGTGCAAGTTCTCACCCAGGGAAGGCATGAGAGTCAAGAGGCAGGGCCCCCCACTGCAGCCCCCTGCCCCTACTCTGAGCTGTGAGATAGAATAGGAGGGAGTAGGCGCAAGTAAGGGGCTTTGGTGTCAGCCAGATACCCATTGTGCTGTGTGACCTCAGGCAAGTCACTCAACCTCTCTGAGCCTCTGTGTCTTCACCTGAAAAATAGGGATATTAACAGTACCTTCCTCATGGGGAGCATATAAGGATTAAGTAAAATAATCCATGTAAAACCCCCACATAGAGCCAGGCACAGAGTAAACAGCCAATAAATGCCAGCCATTATAATCAGGCAGGTTGCTGCAGGTTGCTGAATCTTTCTGGGCCTGTTTGCTTATCTGGGGAATGGGGATAATGCCATGAGAGTCTGAAGATTATGTGAAATTGTGAGTATGAATGTTTTGTGAAGCTGACGAGTGGGATGGGTAGTGGGGGGTGGGCTCCGGAGTCTCCATGGGGTCATATATGCAGTGGGTGCTATAGGCGTCCCACCATTTATGAGA